TATTAGTCTGTGATATTCCTGCTTTCTGCTATCTGTGACTCAAGATACAGGATCTMACTTTTTGAATCATGCACTGAACCTTGACTATAGTTTCTTACATTTGCGCAAAGTAAATGCTCACATAACACCAATATGTATTTGGCAGTTGCAGTATATATGGTATGGTCTATCCCATGAAATTTTGCCAAATTTTTACTCAGAACAATTTTTTTTTTTTCAAAATTATTCTAAAATTGGGAAAATATGTGGGGATTAACTTTGTTTCCTACTTAACCTGCAGGAAGAGTCAGTTCTGGAACAGGTTTATTTTCTGCCTAGTGCATATGGTTTACAAGACCTGATGCCTCTCTGAGCTGAACTGCTACTGCACATTGAATTAGAAAAGGCTGGCTATCTCTGGTTATGAAAGAGGAATACCAACAGAAGTAGAACATAGATTTATCAAAGGTGTAAATTGATTGTAACATCTGACTTGTAGTGGTAGAGAGATTTCAGTGCTGGATGGCATTTGTAATTTAGGAACTATCGGACTAAAGAAGCACTTTCTTCTGCAAGGGCTGTAAAAATGTCTTGTGCGTATCACTTTCCTATTGCTTTCTAACATCTTTGMAGATATAAGAGAAAAAGATGAGAGCGTTTAGGGAGATGGAGAATGAAAATGGAGCCATATTGTCATTGAGCTTCATCTGTTGCAGATCTTCATTTTATTGAAACAATAATGTTAACACAGATAGTTGTTTCCTTTCAAAAAGAGTGAATTTTTGATGTRTGGAGGAAGGTCTTAGGTACAAGACCAATAGTGGTTTGCCTATATTATTGTTTATTGCTAGCTGTTATCAAAGCATGAAGCAGTTGTGTTATAATACTGCTGCTGCTGTATAAAGAAACTGATTCCACATGTAATTTGAAAGAAAATAAATGCAATACTGTTTTTTATTCCTCAAGCTCCTTTTCCTGCAAAGAGCTTTCAAAAGATACAGAAGGAATGACTTTTCTTGCCAGTGAAACACCCCTACTTATGGGATGAAACATGGAAGTTTTTGCAACATGCAACAGTAGGTTTTGNTTTTTTTTTTTTTTTTTTAATTTCAGGGCAAAGAGAAATCTACCATACATCTGAAATTATAGGAAAGAGTTAGGGTAGACTAATTTGTCTAAGCAGACTACAGACAAGAGGTCTGGCTATTATGCTTACTAAGGTCATTTTCTTCAAATAGTAAAAAAAAAAACCTAACTAATAAACAACCAATACATCTGGATAGGCAGATGATGAAAAGTGTAGTACTAGTCTTCTTCCCAGGGAGGGAAACCCAACAAATATCAGATCCTGCAAGTCCTCAGATACTGAGCTGTTCCAGTAAAAATTAGACATGCAGACATAAAGATAAAAAGAGCATTGTTGAAGAATCCTGCTTTGCCATTTCACATTCCAAAGGAGACACCTCTGTTGGTAGGCTTAGCCTGGACAGGARGAGATGCATTAAGTCACATTTCTGCTGTCAGGAATGCTTTTCTGCCCTGGGGACTTTTCCACTTTTACTTGCCATCTACTGCCCACTCACTCCTCTTTCCACTGTGCATGTGGCACGAAGAAGGCAATGCACCTAGCTCAGCTACAAACAGAGCTAAAATCAAAGATATCTCAATTTATTATGTGAAGACTAGTTCTGAAACTTTGCTTTTAAATACTTTGACTGTTCTAAGTGTTGCCAAAGGAATGAGAGTAAAAATAGACCTGAGTCCTGATGGCACTGGTAATTTAGAAACAATTCTACTGCTTTATATGTAAGTTGTTTGTCATCTTCTTTCCTTGATCGTTAGCACTAAAGGGCATGTGCGTGATAGCACAATCTTCATGTTTTATAAGCCTTTCTGTGCTTTTGTCACTTTGCTCCTAAATCCAAAATCCTAATTCCCTGTGACATCCCTATTAGTTGCTCTGAACAAAATTCTGTTGCCACAGAGGATTATGACATCAGGCAATGACTGTAAGCAGCAGGAGTAGATGAACTCTCTGAGACAAAGATCCTTTTMTGATGCAAATGTCCCATAGTACTAAGAAGTGAGGCAAAGCACCCAGCATCTGTGCTGTGCTGTCACAACTGACTCTGAAGATGGCAGATGAGGCTTCAAGCTTCCTTGTGGTATTGTAAAGCTTTCAAAATTCCACATAATTCTGTTTTTTTCTTTCTTTTYCCCCCTCTGGCTGCTTAAAGTGTTGTWCCCATCTTCACAGTTGGTGTCTGTCAAGTACAATTCAGATACCATAGCAGAGGCCACAAATTCAAGTACTTTGGCTCTCTGGGCTCTTTTGTATAAACACCTCRAGCCACAGCTGCTGGGCCTCATGCGGTCTTATTCCTTGGGTACAGTCCTTTCTCAAGGCTATGACCATTGTCAAGTCCAGTTACTGATTCAAGTGTTCTCAGAGGAATGTAGGAAAAGTGGAGAAATGTTGGAAATGGTATTCTGCTCTGCTTCTATGTAATAGTATTTATAGTTGATGCTGTAGCAAGTTTACATAGAGTCACTATTGCTTTCTGGTTTAATTTAAAAAATACAAATATAGATASCTTGCTTGTTTATTCCTCTAGGAATACTGGCATTCATGTCTGGGGTTAGAGGTTKGATCATGGGATCGTAATGAGCAGGAGAAGTATCAGTTCCTCATTCCTTATCCTCAGATAATTCAGACATTTTAGGCAAAATGACAACTAATGTATTTTAGACTGTTAAATGTCAACCCTTWTTTTGTTCGGCCAGACTAAGTTTGAAGCAAGTGTCGGACCACAACCTGATGGATGTGTATATGTATTTATATCCATGATTTTTACAAGAGTAAAGGCAGGAGGGAAGCCTGTATATACATGTGCCTACCTTCCCACGCTGGAAAGTCTGTCAGCTTTGTTCTAATCCTAGAAGTGATCTGTTAATTTCACACTGTGCCACTGAGACCACTGGGATTCATATGGCTGCAAATGAGAGTCAGGTGGGTGGGAAGAAGAGGCGGAGGGGAGGAGAAAAGTGTTGAAAAATGCTGCTCAACTTTCCTTCAGCATGGCAACATGGGGTTTTCTTGCTGTGGCTGTTGTTGTCACTTCTTTTCAATAGGTGCAATAGGTGAACTTTACTTCAGGGCTTTTATTGTCTTCTTCTATTAACCGCGCGTATGATTCTACCTAGAGGTTTGGGGATTAGTGTTTGTTTTGGTGGGGTTTTTTTGGTTTGTTTTTTTTTTTTTGGTTTTTTTTTGGTTTTTTTTAACAGTATAATGAATTTTGGAAGAAGCTCAGGTTTTTCTTAACATTCAGTCAAACTCTTGTGCTTACTGAGTCACATGCTCCTTCTCATTGCAGGAGAGATGTAAAGAAAAGCAGATAGCTGGAAAGCTACTGAAATCCACCCATTCTGTTCTTGCAGTGGGGAAACATGATCTGGTGGGGAGAGCAGAAACTCTGCACCAAAGCCGTGAGGGTCCATTCCTGGCTTGATCATTAAATTATTGGGAGGATCATGGCCTGACACAGGACTTCCAGTTGCATGTGGTTCTATGAGGGCTTGTAAATATGGAAGTGCCCAGGTGTGCAGGTTCAATACAAAAGATGTTGAATAATGATGGAATTTAGTGAAATCACTATGAATGGCATCAGGTGGGAGTTGAAGGGTTTCATTGTTAGAATATTTTTAAATGATGTCTCCACTTTGGTCTGTCCTATATAATCTATAACATACAGCTGGTGGTGCTGATGTGACGAAGAAATTAGTACCAGGAGTAGGATTGAGCCTTGTAGAGTTGCTGTTGCTAGCAAAGGCTGTAAAGAAAGATGCTGGGATGGGTGGCACAGTTGTTTCTTTGTACTTATAGTGTTGTCCTAGACTGGGAGTGGTTAATGAACTGATCTCAGGCAGCCTAGCCAGCTGATGCTCTATTATCTGCTTTATTTCTTTTGTTTCTTCTTTTCCAACGCATACAGGATATGGCATAGTAGGTATGTCAAATGTATGTGTACTTTTTATTTAAAATCTTGCACAACAGGAGCAACATACCTTTGTCTAGAATGCTGAAGATAAAATACTTTCCCAGGAAGTAACTTGTAAACTCATGTTCTTGTAATCTATGACTTGCAGCTTCATGCCTGCTCTCAGATGATTCAGAATCCAGCTACCTCCCTGTGGATGACATAGTAGCTGTCATTCAGAGTCCCTCTCATCTGAAGATCACTTTTTTCCCCATTGCTTGGATTTTGTGTTTGCAAAGCTTATCTGAATAGGATAGCAACTGCTAGCTGCAAATCACAGAATAATGAAAGGCTATTCTGTTGGTAGTGGCTGCTTCCTTCTCTGCTTCCACAAAAGGCATGAAAAGCAGTCCAGAAAGAGAAATGCTGTGGACTAAGGTCATGCCCTTCTGAGGACTGTATAAGCATATATACGCATAGGTTTCCAGAGGGACCTATGTAATAGATCGTAGTCTTTGGGGTATTTTTGGTTGATTGGTATTAACCTATAAAGCCAAATTATAGACAGCTGAGGCTTCAAAACTTCAGTTTGAATYGATTTATCAGGGTTCTTTGGGGATGATGAGGCATTGTTCATGGGCCCATTTCATAGCTTTCATTTCTATAAGGGGATCAAACTTGTAGGGAAGTGCAGCAACCTGGCCATGTTGGCATCAAACCCTATTTTATTGTAATTTCTTTGACCACGTTTGGAACATATGAGTTGGGCCTGCCTAAGCGGGAATATGTTGCTGTTCCCTCTTCCTTCTTGCTCTGTGTTACAGTTTGCTATTTTGTTGTGAGTTGTACACTTGTCTTTGTGTTCTTTTTACCTGAGTTTCTTGCACGTTCAGGAATGGAACAGTGTTTGGTTAATGCTTTCTTTCTTCTGCATGAGGATCCTTCCTGATGGTAATGGTAGTGATTAATTGAATCCTTTGTGAGCCTGACCAAAGTTATTCTCCTTTTTATTTCACCTTTTTCTTGTCATCCCTTCTCCAGGACCAAGCACTACCTGCCAGGAAGATTCCTGTGCCAACCAGGGCATCTGTAATCAGCAGTGGGAAGGCTTCACCTGTGATTGCTCCATGACTTCGTATTCTGGGAGCCAGTGTAATGATCGTAAGTAGACTTTTCTGTGCATTGGTGAGCTGTGAGTTCTGATACATGAGAGAGCAGAGTACACATTATTAGTTCTTTCAATTGCAATAAAACTTTCCCAGTGTGAAAGCCAATTTTTTTTCTTGGAAATTTCTTTAAAGCCTGTATCAGGTTATTTTTTTTCCCCTTAAAATGAAAATATGCAATTTGGCATGTTGGTTTTGGTTGGTTGTGTTTTGTTGGGGTTTTTCTTCCCCTCTTTTTGAAAAATAGCTTGACCAGGSCAATGGTGATGATTTATGGAGTTCCTGGTTCAGAGACAACAGGAATGACTTGCAGATACTGTATGTTATATTTGTATAGGTAAAAATGTCTAGGTTTTGTGTATTGAATTATGCATTGAGATTTTCATTCAGACCTTGGTGAAAAGGATGTGTAATGCATGCAAAATGAGTAGTGTTCTAGATAGTCTTCTACTGAAATAGTAACTGTATGCTGAGCTGCTGGGTACTGTTTGCAAGAATGTTCAATTAAAACCAGTGATCAGCTAAATATACAGCAGCACCCATCATGTTTCTTGATGTATTGATTTGCTTCATCTCAAAACATTGGATAGTCTTGGCCAATTACTACTAAGATTTCTCATAAAATAATTGAACAAACCCCTTAARTCTGCCTTTAGGGGGCAGATAATCAGCTTTTTGAGATTCCCTCTGCTCATCATGGTTTGGCCTTTGCCTCTGCCTGGAGGGAACAGATCACTTCAGCTCCATTGTCTGCCTGTTTCTCTTATTTGAGGTGACAGCCCCCTTCTCCCTCACTGCTCCAAGGCAGGGAACAAAGGAACACATCATCAGTGCTGTAGTAAGCATGACTGTGGGCTTCAATAATTTGGTTCAATGTGTGTATAAATTTTAAACTCGGAAAARACCTACAGCCCGCTCTGACCTCCTGCATCTCAAAAGCTACTGCTTTTCATTAAGATACTTGTGGTAGATCTAATTAATGGTATCAGCAAGGTCCATGCAACATTAGTGCCACGGCACTGTCATATCTGCAACCCCTCCCCTAAAAATCTGAAACATGACTGAATTGATGCTCATATGACAAGCTGTTTAGCACATGGTGACACTGTTTCTGCTGAAGGCCAAAAAAACTGATTTTCTGAGTCATTCATAATATGTAGTGTTGGTCTCCCAGCATATTTCTCTCAAGTAGATATTGGAAAGCTCTATCAGCATTCATASTTTGACAGGGGCTGTATAAAAAAGGTACTACTGACACAGATTTATAGACTGTAATGCTGTGTCTGGTTTTGGGCTGCTTTGGAATTCAGAATGTTTCCTTTGGGTCCAGAAGAAACATTTCATGTTGGAGCCACAATATGATGCCAATTTTCTGCATTTTTGTTTTGATTGGCTTGTATCAATTGGACACCCACTTTCCCATTCTCAAATTTCTTGTTCAGTCAATCATTTTAGACTTGCTAAGCGTAGCTCACAAATGTGTGAAAGAAACCCTACTTTGGATCCTGTTGGACTGCATTTAAATACATATGCAGGAAATCTCTTACATTATTGATACTCTGGGGTTTGTTTCTAATGTGTTTGGCTTCACAGCTCCAGAACGTTTTAGTGCCCTTGTTAAGCTGTTGCTAATGACTAAGAGCAGGCCCTGAAGCATTAGGAAGAGCCACGTTTCTGTAACTGGGGGTTTCTTGCTGCTTTTTTCRAGCTGGCAGCTGAAAACAAGGCAGACAAGGGAGTTTGAAATGAGTGGGGGTGTTGTGGGCAGTGTAGGAAGCAGACTCCTGTTGTCAGGCCTGGCTGGTAATTTACAAATGCTCACAGAAGGATGTGAGTTTCAAAATGATCTGGAAAGGTAAGTCATGTGGACTTCATCTGGAACATGACAAGCCTTCATCCTGGATACTCAAAAAGTGCGTATAACATTTTTTTTTGTGGTTTTTTTGGTGTTTTTTTTTACTTTTGTCTTTGTCATGTATCAAGACATTGGAAATAGAGATCTACTCCTGACTTCATGATACAGTTGGGATATCTAGCAGAGAAGGCGTAAATCCTGTTCCTACCTTTTATATATGGTTGCTATTGTACCCAAGTCTAATGGAAGTACCRGCATCAGTATATCAATTGAAGTAAATATTTTAGACTGGATTTTAATGCATGTAATGGCAGAGAGAGATACCTGCTGTGTAACCAATTTGAGGTGTTACACTGATGTAMATATGGAGTATTGAAGTAAATCGAACAGGTTGAGTTTTACACAATGAAAATTATAGCAAAAGGATGACTTAAGGGATATATTTTGCCTTTCCATTTCTTTTAATCAACTCAAGTGTTCATACTGGAAATTTGCATTTTGATGTGTTTGATGAAGTATCTCAGTGCCTCTGAGATAAATGATTCCTACAGTGTGGTGATCTCTTCAATTATTCTTGATCTCCTAGATTATCCCAAACTATTGGTAGGCGTGATTTGTGTTTGGGTTTTTTTATTATTTGCTAGAGCAAACTTTGCAAAGATATTCAGTCTTCTCACTRCTGAGTAAACCGTGTTGGCGCACCAAGCTTTTCCTTTTTAATTTTTGTCGCAGGTCTGGCCCATTAAGCTTCCTAATTCAGATGCAACAGATTTGGAACTTCTGCTTCTGAAGGGTGAAGAGGAAGCTTCCCCTTCAACTTCAGAAGGGGTAGAGATCCATGTTGTATGCCTATAGACATGTTTATCCATTCACCAGTATTGCTTAGCAAGACAAGGATTTAAATTCCTAGTGGAAATGATGATATGATACAGCCTTTAATTTTAGCTGTTGTTCTGTAGCTCTGTTTTAGATGTTCTTTACAATGTAGGAAACAAGATTCTTCATAATAAGAAATTAYTGGAAGCTATGGAGGCATAAATGCAGTTTTAATATGCTTCATTCTGAGTTGTACAATTGTACAATTTAAATATTCAATATTAAAACAAACAAACACAGTAACAACCTACAGACACCCCATGCTCTCAAGTTCATTTGAGAAGGTCTGTTGTACAAAAGTGAATTTAATTAATTAATTAATTAATTAATGTTTGCCCGTCATACTGGCCAATATTAACACCTGAAAAGAAGGGTAGAAATAGAAGCCATGGGACTATTTGGGGTATACTGGTTCAATTCTTATTGCCATTTAAAATCTGTTCTTCATTTTTTRAAGTTGTTCCACTCTTTTCAATCTTTATAGGTGTTTTAATCTGTTCAGCATCACATTCAATAAATATGGACTTTCAACCTCTTTTCAGAATGTGCGTATTACTCTAAGATGTCGGAAGTCAGTGTTGGTATATTGCAGTTGATATTTGGAATATTATACAATCCTGGCATACCAAGCTGTTTTTTAGACTGTTCAAACGTGCAACTTTAAGCATGTAAGGCAGCAGAAGTAAAGTTAACCCATAATGTTGGAAGTGTCTTGTGTCTGGGGTGTGGTCCCTCCTGTTACTGTCAGCTATGACACCAGATGAAAATGTGGTAGTTAAGCATTCCAACCTACCCGAATTTGACTTGTATTTAAACTGTTGTCTATGAAAAGCTTTACAGATTCTTAAATTAATTCATGTTCTTGTCTCTCTGGTCAAACAATAGCATTTTCTTTTCTGCAACAATGAGAATGCGTGATAAGAGGCATTGTCAATCTAGCTAATGGAAATGGTATATGCATGATCAGACTGGATCATAGAAAACACTGCTTCTTACTCTGTGCCTCATGCAAATGAGTAACACTGAGGGTCAAGCTTCCCAAGAGCAATTGCCAGGCTAACACAASTATGTATTAATGGAGATGTTTGTCTGCATAAGATCAATGATTTGCAGCAATGACTAGTGCAAGCAGGGTATAAAGTACCTTTTCAAACAGGTTGCTTGTTGTTGTTGAAACAGTTAAATCCACCTGCTGACTATTGATTAGCTTTTTAGAGGGGTTATTTATTCATATATTTACAAACTTTGGATTGTGATAGCCACCTGGTTTAAAACCAAGTTTTCCATTTGATTGGTAAAGAGAAAAGGTAACCAATGATAACCAAGTATTTTTGTCCTCTTGTGTGTCTATCTTCACATGCTTCCAGTCTCCATCCTTTTCAAGGATTGCATTAATAAGTAAAGCAATCCTCTAACCTTTCAATGAGAGAGCTTGGCTGTGTGATGCTTGTTTTTGTCTGGGAGAGAAGTGATATATGGGGCTGATRGGGGCATTTTTTGTGCAAGAAGTTACATTTTTTTCCCAATCCCTTTCTATGTGATGCATAACCTATATTCTTTTACTGTCTTTATGTGAATCACGTTTGGAGGAGGGAAGGATTAGAGGGAAAGGGAGTTATGGTAACTTTGTTCTTTTATTCATTAATTTAGCACTATCACAAAAAGAGCTTTTGATAACTTCAGTTACATAATCATAATGAGTGAGGCTTACTAGCCAAAATCTTTTTTTTTTACTTGACATAAAAGGAAGGATATCAAAATTAGCAAAAGAAGTCTAAAACCAATACTTTAGAGTAAAGCACAGAGTGTGTTATGTTGACTGAGGAAGACTGAAGCTGGCTTCTTAGCCACATGTGTGTGAGATACCAAGGTTGTCAGAGCAGACCCATCCMTCTTCATTAATGCCCTTCCTTTTTGCTCCTTAAAATAAGTGAATGAGTACCAAAGTGTATTGCTGCTTCTGGAGCATAGTCTGTAAGCTAGGCTGCCCTTGCTGAGCTTGTTTCCTTCATGTCTGCTTAAACAGCATGGCAGAATAGTCATTAGGAGAGACTACTCGCAGGGCAAATGGCTAAATGAGTAGCCCTTCCTTAATGGTGATGGCTTTATTCTGATGTACTCATGAGCCATTTGCACCCCAAACTTTGTCTGTGTCACTGAGCAATTACAGCTCATGCTCTCCATGGCAGGATTCAGACCCCTAGTCGGGAGATAAACCCTATTTCTTCTCCTTCAGTATTTTGCATTTTTCACCATCTGGGTGA